ACCTGAACACAGACGTTACCTGAACAGACCACACCAGCGTCCTCACTGTGTCCACAGTTGTTCTCTCCAAATGAAGGCCTCTGGCAGTGCAGCAGCGACGTCTCGTTTCCGACACAGTTGACGTCGTCCAGCCAGATGGTTCCTTGACCTTCGCCGAAGAAGCCGCTGGTCTTGGCGGTCTGAGCGGTTCCGCAGTCCATAGCTCTGCAGACCACCTGAGCGTCCCTGATGTCCCACTCGTCATCACACACAGTTCCCCACTGACCCTCGTGCAGAACCTCCACCCGACCCGAACAGCGGTCGGTTCCGTTCACCAGCCTCACGGCCGGACTACCTGAGGACACAGCGCTCACGTTAGAGGCAGGTTGGTACTGATGACATCCATTAACCAGGTTGGGCTGGTTTTTGGTTCTTCTTTTCCAGCAGTGTGTTCAAAGCGGACTTTTTTAAACCCTGAGCCTGAAGCCCACCGTCTGGCACCTGATGTCTCATCACAGCTGCTTTAAAGCCTTTAAAAAGCATGTTTGTGACTCTTTCATTCCAACCTCAGTGAAAGTAACTGCACATATTTATTTAACTCGGGTACTGAAGCACAGCTTTGAGGTTTTTTGACAGATTTTTAAGATGCAGATCTGACACAGTGGAAAACAGAACAAACTCCTTCGATAGAACACGGTGGAGCTACGACTTTAATCTGGACGTTGATGACGTTTGCTTTTTGTTTGGGTTTTTTTGTTTTGTTTTGCAATTGTGAGATTTTTAAATATATTTGAGAAAAAATACTTTAATATATGTTTTTGACATGTTTGAGATCATTTTAATTCATATGTAAATTAGTAAAAAAAAATATTTGGATATATATTTTATTTTTAGATATTTACTATTTGCAAAATTCTATAAATTAAAAAAAAATCTGAAATCAGAAAATGTATTTATTATTTATTTATTTTAAATCTAAGTTTATACCGTTTTATTTATTTATTTATTGTATATGTTTCCTGTCAGTCTTCCTCAGTCGGGTCACGTTTCAGAACAGATTCCACCAAACTTCTCACTCATGTCTGTAGAAACCTGAGAACCCATCAGTGGATCAGAACCTGGATCCAGTTTGGAGCCTCAGAATTCTCTGCTGTCCCTGAATATAAAC